AATTAGAATATCATTTCATCTGACAACTTATTTAAACACTGTATTTCTAAATGAACCATCTCAATTTTTGGTGTGAAAGGTGACAGCATATTTATTATGGTCCATTTCATAAATACCCACTTACAAATAGACCTCTTCACACCTGGGTGTGCCTATTTGGAGACACTCAGAAGAAGTCCTCCCAATGTGAATTACTTCTTGACTTTCAGAGGTAAGAGGAAATTGCTTAAAATGAAAATGAAAACAAAAATCTGCTTACTTCAGTGTACGTTTGGAAGGTTACAAAAATTGGGTCAAATATTGATATTTGCTTTTTGGTATTTTTGTCATTTAATTGGCAAGTTAATAGAGATGCTTCCTTGGGTGAGATCATTTTCTGTGAACTTGGGGAGAATTGAGTTGCCCCTTTGCCAGTGGACATGTGGAAAGCACATCATTGAAACATATGTTATCTATTGTAAAATATTTCAGTAATGGGGAAAAATATGAATAATAAATTTAATAGTCATCTACACATATGTCCCTGTCAGATCTTTACATTTTATTCTGTTTACCTCAGGACTTTTTGTTTTATGAAGTAAAGCATTTAAGATGTATTTGAAGGGCTCTGTTCATTTCAGTCACTCAGAGATAGCCACTGTTGGGGGATGGTGTTTATCATTCTTACCTATTTATTTATTTGTTAGCATAATATATTTATCCACAAATATTACCATATCATTTTGTATGTTCTTGAAACTTCTACAAAGGGTATGCTATATAAATAATACTTGAGCTTGTTATTTCACTAATTTACAATAAATTTTGAAATGTATTCATGTTGATATATCTAGCTAAAGGTCCTTTTTATTAATTACTCTAGAGTATTCTTTTATTTTATATTAGTACAGTATTTATATATTCATTCTCCTGTTGATGAACATTTAGATTGTTTGCAAAATTTCTGTTCTAAATAATCTTGCTATGAACATTCTTGTGATTTTGCCCAACCAGTCACATGGGAGAATTTCCCTATGAGAATAATTGCTGGGTCATTTATTAGTTTCATATTACTGCTGAAACAAATTGCCCCAAACCTGCTGGCTTCAAACAACACAAATTTACTTTTTACAGTTATGGAGATTCGAAGTCTGACAGAGGCCTTGGTGGGCTAACACTCAGGTGTTGGCAGAGCCGTATTTCTTATGGAATCCCTGGGGGAGAATCTGGTTCTTGCTTTCATAGTTTGTAAAGAGTGCGCAATTTCTTTGGAATGTGGCCTCATTCCTCTGTTTTCAAAGCCGGCATTGCTGCAGCTCTCTGTTATACCATGGTCACATCTCCATCTGACTTTCTTCTGCCTCAGTCTTCCACATTTAGGAACACTTGTGAATACATTGAGGCCACCTGAATAATTGGAATAATCCCCCTGTTTTAAGGTTACTTTATTGGCAAACTAAATTCCATCTGCAACCTTCACCCCCTTTGCTATGTAACATATTCACAGGTTCTGGGAATTAGGTCATGAACATCTTTGGGTCATCATTATTCTGCCTCACACAGGTCATAGGGTGTTATAAATCTTCCTCTTGACTACATAGTTTTAAGTTTCTATTCTAAGTGGTATGTGCTTAGAATATACTCTCTGAAATGTATGAAATCTCAGTTGTTTCCTATCCTTGCCAACACTAGGATTATACGATTTAAAAATGATATCCTATTTGATAAGTATGATTGGTATCTCATTGAGCATCTTTTCATATAATCATTGGCTGCTGAAATTCTCCCTTCAGTTCATTGCCCATTCCTTTCCTTTTCCCAAATTGTTCTTTTTTGTTTTGTTTTGGTTTCTTACTGATTCATGGGTGTTCTTAAAATATTCCCGTTCCTAATTCTTTGTTGGTTATTTGCATTGCAGTATTTTTTCCTCAATGTGATTTATCTTTACCCTTTTAGAGAGCTTCGTTGATTGCACAAGGGTTTTAATTTCAAAGTTGACAAATTTTGTCTTGAAGAAATACTGTCCTACCTGAAGTCAGGAAGATATTCCTTTTTACTTTTTAAATGTTTGTGCAACAAAGTGAATTGTTCTTTTTAATATTTTTTTTGTTTTGTTTCCAGATGTATATGTTTCTGTATTTGTGACAGGTAGCAACACAAGTCTGATTTATTGGGTTGGCTCAGTTTTATATAGGCTGTGACTGTTGAGAACTATATAATTTAAAGGTTGATGAGTTTATGAAATTTTATTGCTTAGAGGAACTTCAGGGGGTGATGTAGTTTAAAATGAGGCCCGGAGAGACAGGGAGCCCCAATTCTAGAACTACTTGTATTGATACAGTGAATTGCATCGATACTGCATTATATTATTTTCATGGCTGAGGAGTCTACCTAACCTTGAAGAGAAGTTTTACACTATTACTAGATAACTTAACTCTTGTGCTGAGTAAAATAATGGATGCCGATTTATATCCAAGAAAATAAAACAACATTTTCATAGTAGAAATTTTCATGAGATGGTAGTACATTATTTTATTTATAACTTTTTTTTTTTTTTTTTTTTTTTTTTTTGGTCAGAAGCAAGGAGTGGTTAATTCCTGTGACTATAATGCTTATTCATCTTTCAGTGATGACTGCATGATTATAAAAATAACTAGACATCAGTTTTGTTGAGAATCACCTATTTTCCCCAGAGTCCATATCTTCTTTTGGAAAGCTTCTGTCACTTACATGCTTTTATTGTGGACCAGGTTCCAAAAGAGAAACTTCCTTTCATAGAATCTCTCAACTTTTCTGTCTGAGTACTCACCCACATTACTACCTGTACCATATACTGGCCCTCTTCCAACTCACTGAACATGTTTATTTTCTCAATATCACTCAAGTCTCAGACTCTTTAAGCTCAGGGATAAAATTAAGTGCATTTCTGATGCCCAAAATAAGCATCTCAAGAATTTTTCACTATTTTTTTTCTTAAAGGAGTGTTGCAGAGGAACTTAAGAGTGAATGACAGTTGACAGAAGATGTGGTTGCCCGGCAACTGGCAATTTAAATAACTAGGAGCTGATATGATTTACCAACCTGATAAACAGCAAGGACTTTAATACAATCTTAAGGACTGCTACAGATGTTGCATTGAGCTATTTATATGTGTTGATCTGTTTCAGTCTATTTTAATATGTGTGTATATATATACACATATATATGTGAATATCTATTCCTGCAGAACTGGAATATGAAAGGAAAGGCTGCATCTCTTCCCCTATGTGACATTAATAGAAGTTGCCTGCAGTAAAATGAGTTGGTTTAGCCCCCTTGTTTTTATGCAGATACTCCGTGTCTAAGGGGGGTTTCTCACTCAGAGGAGATAAATGTCCTGTGGATTGAGTGCAGTTTGAGTTCTGAGATTGTATTTATATACTCAGTAATTATTAACTTATTTTGGCAAGTTTTGTTATTTGAGACTTCTCTCCATTTTTTGAAATGGAGTAGGAATTGGTCTTTATTCTTCATAGGAATAATGAGGTTTAGTAAGATTGGCTCAGAGTCAGTTGGCTTAATTGATTAGTGTGTTTTGCTAATGGGATCAAGTCTCTTGATCCTGTCATGAGCCAGCTAGCTTCCTGGAGCAGGTCAATCTTCATTTTGGCTAAAGTCAGCCTTCCCAGCCCTCACTAGAAGTCTCTCAGGGATGATAGGAAACCTGTGACCCATCAGCAATAATAGTGTCACCATCCAGAATACCCCTCCTGGCGGGAGTCAGCACTATCACTTTGTATATAAAGAACGTGGTGTACTTGAGAAGCAGTCTGTTTAAAATTCTGTCATCTTTTGGGGAATGGAATGTGCTGCATGAAACAAACTACCAACATCCTGTTAGGAGCACAGAGCTTGAGATAACTTGGAGGATTATTTTAATACTGAAAATAATTTATGGTATGGGAATACAAATATCATTTTCATCACAAAATAGTTGGAGGACACAGCAAGGTAATTTTAAAATTGTTTCTTGACGCTATTTACAATTCACTGAGGTTAGGACTTAGGACACTTCACGGGAAGGAGGACATGTTGGCCAACTGTGCGTGTTTGAATAACATTCAGTACCCTAAAGCTGTATGCCAGCTCTTCCAAGGCACCTTCTCCCTTCTACCTCTGAAGTCCAGGGAAAGTTCCCAAAGTCCTTTGTGCTTGTGATGTCCTGTTCTTTTAAGAAATGATGCCTAGTAAGCCTGCAGTGTTTCCCAATTCCTGGGCCACTTTGCAATGCAGGGGCCCTGACTGTCAGAACGATATCTCACATTGGTTAAGCACTGTGCTAAGTATTTTAAATATATTGTTTTTTGTCCCTACGAGTAGGTCTTAGAGTCAGAAACTTACTGGGAGCAAAAGGAAGGTCAGAGTAGTAAAATAATTTCCCTGTGAGAATGCAGTAAGAAAATCAGAAAGATGCAGTGTGCATTAAGGTCAATCAGACTGTAAAGCCAGTGCACTTGTTCACCGTGTTACTCTCTCGCTCTTTGTTTTGTTATTTTATTTCTTAATTGTTCATATATGTGGTGGTTCTCATGTTTTAGCTCAGTTAAGAATCATTGCGGAAGCTTGTTAAAAACACTGTTTCTGGGCCTTTGTCCCAAAGATTCTAATCTAGGAGGTTCTTAGATCAGTGCCAAGTATCTGAATCTGCATTTTCAGGGGAGTCCTCGGATCACACTATTGGAGATCCTGGGTGTGAAATCTGTGAGGCAGGAACTATCTGAGCTACCCTCTGGGCTCTGTGCTGAACCTTCCTAGTGAGCACCTAGTAGGTACACATTACATTCAAGCATTGTTAAAACTGTTGTTCCTCTGTGGCATGAACCTGGGTTGATCTTTCCTATTTTTTTTTAAAAGATTTTATTTATTTATTTGACAGAAGAGAGAGCAAGAGAGAGCACAAGCAGGGGGAGCCACAGAGGGAGAGGGAGAAACAGGCTCCCCACAGAGCAGAACTCTGGGATTATGACCTGAGCTGAAGGCAGACACTTAAATGACTGAGCCACCCACGTACCCTGAACCTGGATTCATCTTAACCTGAATATAAATGCGAGGTTTGTGTCAGAAAAGTCAGTAATAATTGGTAGGGTAAAGTTCAAGAAATGATTTATTTCTTACATATCCATGTATTCTGGAAATTGAGGGGTATCTAAGATATCAGTGTGTATTCAAACAAAGCCTCTGTAGAGAAAGAAAAAGCCTAGGTAAGAAAAGAACCCAACAGGGAAGGAACTGAAATAAATCTTAGGTATAAGCTATATTTCTTTGGGAGGAGATAAGAAGACAAAGATGGAAGGTGGGAGTTTGGTTCAACTCATTAGTTAAGGGGGGGGTGTCTCTTCAGAAAGAGGTCAACGAAGTAAATGACTTGTTCAGTTGGAAGAGATTCGGGAGAAGGCTAGTAGAAAAGAGGGTCAAAGATAGAAAATGAGGAGTAAACAGAATCAGTGACAACGTGTGTATTGATTGGGAAGGTAGCCTGGACACCTGCCCTCTTCTGGCAGCGGCCCTCGTGGCTCATGGCTCATCCTATTTACCTTCTTCATTGTGTGGGAATTCTGCTGCTGTCATTTCTTCCCCTCAGGTGCATGTCTGTCCGTGTCTGGAGATACGTCTTGGCTGGCTTAAAATTTAACTGACCACCAGCAATAGATAGAACAGTAGGTAAGATTATTTGTGAAATCCTCCTCAAAATAGGGGGAGAGGCCTTAAAGTCTACTGAAATTCCCAAGGTGATCTGTTGAAACAATAGAAAAGTTCTTTTTAGAAGGACTTATACAGTGCTAGGGACTATACTTCCTGTTTCCTTTCCGATTTCTACAAAATGATAATGGTTCCTAACTTACTGTTTTTGATATGCTTATGCTTTCCTTTCCATCAATAGCCAAGAAGTGATTTAAAAAATATCTTCGCAACATCAGTCAGTGAAAGATTAAGGTAAATAGCATATATTCACAAGCAAGGGATGGCACACTGTATTTCCATAGAATGCACATTTGCCTTCTAAAAGAAAGAAGCAAAGAAACAAGAAGAGCTTTAGTAATTAGATCCCTGTTGTAACCCTAGTGGAGTGAGAAAGATTAATAGCTGTGCCTCAGAACTTTTCCAGGGTGAGAGGCACCGTGGATCGCAAATTCCTCCTGGGATGGAACTTGGCCTGAAGTAAAACGCAGTTCCTATACTAATAATGATAATAATCGTCAACATTTTTGTGTACTTTCTCCTTACCGATGACTTTACATTTAATTTTTCCAAGCCTCCCAACGACCTGGTGAGTTAAATAATTCATGTTTAAGCATCTGAGGCTCAGAGAGGTTAATTGACTTCCATACCACCCAGCTAGTGAGACATTTTACATGGGCAATTTGCTGCATGAAGGGATTATTAGATCTTCAAGAGGTGAGTTGCAGCATTAAAGAAATCACAGACATTTAAAAAAAATGTATTCAATATTGAAGTTTGGAAAAGAGAACTAAGTCCATCTAAATTGCACCAATAGATAAAGGTCTTTTGTGTTTGGCTAGCTGATCATAACCCGTGCCTCCACACTGGCAAGGGAGTAGACCGGGAGCCAGGTTCTTTTAAGCATGCTTGATCGGGCAGTGTTCTGCAGGGAAGGTTATAGTGTAAGAGTTACAAAGCCCTCCTGCTGCCCAGGTATCAGAGGTTGTCTGTTACAAGTTCCTTCACTTCGACTATTACTTCCTTTTCACAATTCTATTTTGGACTTCTGTCTCGGGTGTATTTACAGGTAGACAAAGCTCTTTTTCTAACAACCCTTTTGCCATGACTGAAAAGGAGCCTTGTATGTCCTGCAGTTTCTGGGTATTGTGATTCTAGTTTTAAACTCAAACTGATGATAATGGTGGCTGTGATTCCCCATTCCCTATTGTCCAAGGAGGGAAGTTGCAGGTAGGGGCTTTCAAAGATGATCCAATAAAAATCAGTGCAGTAAGAGTTTTTGATAAAATGGTTCTCATTATATAGAAGCCATTTAGGATACGCCTTGGGTACTGGAGTCCCTGGGACTAAGCCCAATGTTTTTAAAAAAAAAAAACAACAAGCCTTCCTGAGAAAAGGTCTGTTTTATTAGCGCAGGTACTGTAGTTGGCAGAACTTCTTATGGAATGAAATAACCAGCAGACCACTCCTGATTGTGTTATGTATTTTTAGATGTTACCATTGAGTTATATTTATAGTATAGACTACTGAATTCCATCTTAAATATGCAAAATGCATGCATAACTAACCTCCCAAGCTGCATTCCCTGCTCTATATTACACCTACATTGTAGCCTGTGCTTAAATGGCTCTCCTAAAAGTCTTAGAGTGGGGCTTATTATTTTCTCTCAAAATGTAAGCATGGAGAATGCATGTGAGATGTGTGCCTCTCTGGGTGACACGTTTTGTTCTTACCTGTGAAGTCAGCAAACACCCGGCAAGCAGGTGGGAAGTGAAACCAAGCAGGTGGGTAGTCTTGCATAGGTAACTGCCCAGAGACCAGAATGAACCAAAAGGAGCTGATGTGCCAGTGTTTACCAGTGTGTTTGGTGATTTGGAGCACCTGGTGTCTGCTGTGGTATTAGGTGAGGTTAAATCACGTGACTTTATCTTTGGTGTGGCTCTCGTTATGTCCATCATTTTCCCAGTCCCCAGAGTCTCCGGGGTCCTGTTGCTTAAGACAACTTTAAATATCATCAGGAGCATTATTTGTACAGTCCTGCTTCTGTTACTAGAATTGGAGGGGAAAAAGGATTCTTAAATCTCTATATCCCATTCTCTTGTGTCTTGGTGAATAGTGGTTTGGTTATTTTGATAGAATTGTGGAGTTTATAGAGCTTGTTTAATAAAGAAATGGATTTCCTTGAGAGGAGAAAAAAGCTGAAGCTAGTAAGGTGAGAAGCTGAACCCTTCCAGAGATCTGAGAAATCACTTCAGTAGAAAAGCCTGGAAAATGATGGTATCTTGGTTAATAACATCACTCATAGGAAAATTTGTTTTTTGGTGTATGGTGTCTTCCCCTGATCCATGAAGGTATCCACCCCATCTGGGTCTAGTCTTCCTAGGTGGTAGCCCAAACTGTAGAGTACTTTTTTCTGACTCAAATCCAAGGACTTTGTTGTAGTCCTTCAGAGCTCCGTACTAAAACATTAAATGATTCTGCCTTAAAGCCAGGCAACTATAGATTCATTCGTTTAGCCCTTCCTCTTTGTCGACTCATTTATCAAGTATTTATTGTGGATCTATATGTTTCAGGTGCTGTGCTAGGTGTGGGGATTACTGAGATGAACACAGTATAACCCTGAACTGAGGAACATAGTCTTAGGGTGGATAAAAGTACTTGGCTAACATAAGGGGGGTTATTATTATCTAACACAAGGGGTGTCCTTATGGGTATGGTACAAGACACAGTGGAAAGGAATATAGATGAGGAAGCTGACCTTTTCCTTGGAGTGGCTGGTTAAGAATTCTCATTGAAGGTGGTCTTAAAGAATTTGATCTGGGAAGTAACGAAGAGGAGATGTTAGTATCCTTTGCAGAAAGAGGTACTAAAACATGGAAAGTTGAGTATGAGTGGTACTACCCAGGAATGATCAGGACCCAGAATCAGCCGATGTGCTTCACTAGAGCTATTCAGGTCGTGTTCATGTTGATTATTTGGTGCCTGTGTCTCAGCCGTCCTTTATAATGTTGAACATCATTACAGGCTACGTGGAAACACAGGACTTATGTGTGAGGCAAAGAAGGAAGGAGAGAAAGTGGGGTGGGAAGAAATGAATTATGAAGGAACATGAATACCAAGTGGATAATATGCAGGTCACTGAATTTCATTCATTCATTCATTCATTCATTCATTCATTGATTCATTCAGATGGTCCCTAGAGGTGGGGATGTCAGACAGAAGGCTTGATAAAGAATTTAAAATGAATAATTACTTGGGGGGCACCTGAGTGGCTCAGTTGGCTAAGAGTCTGACTCCTGGTTTTGGCTCCGGTCATGATCTCAGGGTCATGGGATCGAGCCCAGCATTGGGCTTCTGCCCCTCATTGGGCTCTATGTTCAGTGTGTAGTCTGCTTGAGATTATTTCCCTCTCCTTTTCCCTTTGCCCCCCTCCCCCAGTGCTTGCTCGCTCTCTCTTTCAAATAAATAGATAAATAAATAAATGAACAAAAGTTTAAAAAAATAATTACTTAAGCCAAGGTAGCATTAATTGAAATGGAAAGGAGGACCCAGATATGGAAGATATTTTTAAGACATTAATGTACTGGCTTTGGTGATTATTTGTGTGAAATGTAAGAATCAGAGAAGTGAAATATAATCTGAGGTTTCCAAAATGAGTAATAGAATGTTTTGTATGTACTTAATAAGAGTTTGTTGAATTAACTGGAGTAGTAAGAGTAATTTTCTAGTGTTTTCCTCTAAAGATGAAATTATGACAGAATTTCACATTCTGAGGCATAAGAGAGAGACTGTGGGTCTGATGATACTCAGTGCCCTGGCACAGTAGGTTTATTTCACCAATAAGCTCTCTTACAGTAGATGTTACGAATTGAGTCACCTCATGGAGCCTACCTACTCTTTAGCGCAATTGAGGCTATAATCGCTCCAACTAAGAAAAGAAAGGACCTGCAGATGAATGTAAATGGCTTTGTAGACTGAGCTGTGCATTACAAGTTGCCTTATTTCTCAGAAAGATATTTTAGAGAGAGATAGTTTTCATTAGTTACAAAATTACAAAAGCATTTTTTTATTAACATATGTATTATTTGCCCCAGGTGTACAAGTCTGTGATTCATTAGTCTTACACAATTCAGTGCTCACCATAGCACATAACCTCCCCAATGTCCATCACCCAGCCACCCATCCCCCCCAAAAAAGCATTATTTTCTTAGTGACACATTGTCCAAAATAATACCAATTGTCCATAAGGAGAAAAAATATATAGTAAGAAGCTCAGACTGTAGTTAAAAAACCAAAAAAGATTGTGGTAGGACTATGAAGTCTAAGGTAATGAAAGCTTAAACTGTGAGAGTTCATGTAGACATTTATTCCAAATTTTCTATTTATTTTATTGTTTTTTTTGTGACTGAGTTCAGTCTATTCAATGGCTAGAAAGGTTCTTTAGTAAAGGAGACTTGTTACTTAATGAGTCATTACTGAAATTGTAATGCGTAGGTAGACACAATCTTGCTATTTAAGCAGCTCTGCTAGAGTGGCCTGTAATTCGTTGTGATGCTACAGAGAACACTTGGCTAAAAGTCAGAAGATCAGCCCTTCCATATTACCACCTACCTGTCTGTGACCAAATCCCTGAAACTCTCTAAGACTCCAATTCCTCTTCTGTAAAATGGAAATAATAATGACTTATCAGTATACTCCAAAGGACTGTTGAGAAGTTCAGAAGAGATCATCCGTGGGCAAATTCTTTATGTCTGTAAGGTTCTGCTGATTTGCTATGTGATTACTATGGAACAGGTAATGGAGGTGGAATGGCTGAAGGACCTATGGAAGCAACCCCACAGTGCTGTTTATAAGAGCACTGTGGGCTGGGGCACTGTAATGTGCTAGTGCCCTCTCTTTCCCTGGCTGCATGGGCAAGCTAGGGCATTACAGGATGTCAGCCCCTTGGACTTTTGTACCATACTATATCCCAAGATATTATAGCAGTAACTTACTTCTAGGCAGCTGAGCAACTTCCTGTCAGAACTGATCTTTTTGAAGCAAGACTCCTAGTTCCCTATTTTGGATTTGTGTAGCTCAAAGAATAGCTTCAGGAACCAAAATAACCATTCTTGGATCTCAATAGGTAAAAGATTCATAGCAGCAATTTTGCTCTTGCTGTGCTTGTGTTTATCTCCTTAAATGTTCATGTATATATTTTTACAGCATGGACAAATTAATGTGCAAATTAATTGAAACTATTAATTGAAAGCAAGTATCTGCTTGGATAATTTGTACTCACAATCAGCATTACTTGCTTTTTTCTTCCTTTTTTCATTTATCTACCCACTTGAAGGCCAGTTGCCTGTTATTTCCACACCAGGCTTATCATAAGAATGGCTAAAGTACTATGGGAAAATTTCCCCATTCTAAGAAAATAGTTTTTTTTCTCTGTGGCTCATTTGGATAAAGAAGTATGGCAAGATTTAAGAATAAATAGCCCATTCTCATTGACAGAGTTTCTCCCACTGACCCCTCTTACTTTTCTAAGCAGCTTAAAAACTGTCCTAATTTGTGTAGAATTCGGTATCAGTTTTGTCCCTAAAAGGTGTGAACAAGGCTGTTAATCTGTTGATTTTGTTGGCCAGGAGGGAAGAGAAGTTTCTTTTTTTTTTTTTTTAAAGGTTTTATTTATTTATTTGACAGAGATCACAAGTAGGTAGAGAGGCAGGCAGAGAGAAAGCGGGGGGGGGGAGAAGCAGACTCCCTGATGAGCAGAGAGCCTGAAGAGGGGCTCGATCCCAGGACCCTGGGATCATGACTTAAGTCAAAGGCAGAGGCTTTAACCCACTGAGCCACCCAGCCGCCCCAGAAAAGAAGTTTCTTTAGTTGATGATGTATGTGTGTGTGCATACACACATTTACACTCACACGAGGCATGTATGTATAAAGGATGGATACTCCTGAAACATTTTAGGAGAGATTTTTAAATGACCATAGTTCAGTTACACAGCTACTATAGTCGTCATGATAATTTTGGTTTAATGTGGCTCATCGGGAATGGAGATGCAGTAAGTGGAAACTAGTATGTATCAACATAGAAATGCATATTAATTTTCTTTTTACAGTATTCAGATAACAAGACTTTCATAATATTAGAAGAGTATGTCATGATTAGGCAGTTAGTAACATGGCTGAATGGCAGAGAGAGTAGTTTACATTTTAAATATTTAATGCTATTTGGGAAGCCAAATTCATATTTCCATCAGAGATGCATTTTGTAAGTCAGGTCTAGCACTCTGAAGGCAAAACCCAACAATTATGTAACTAGCCATGAATCAGCATGTCATGGACATTTGTTACGTATGTTTGGGGAAATAAATGGCAGGTGTGTGGAAAAGAAATATCTTTTTCATTTTATTTTATTTAAAGATTTTATTTATTTATTTGAGAGAGACAGTAAGAGAGAACATGAGAGGGAAGAAGGTCAGAAGGAGAAGCAAACTCCCTGTGGAGCCAGGATCCCAATGCAAGACTTAATCCCGGGAAACTGGGATCATGACCTGAGCCGAAGGCAGTTGCCCAACCAACTGAGCCACCCAGGTGCCCTTAGATTAGTGGATAAGTAGCAAAACTTTGGCTTTACTCTTATCACAATTGAACTTTTGGAGATTGTTGGTTAAATTGAGTTGTATTTGTGCATAAACAAGTATTAGTTGAACACAGTGACATTATAGATTAAGACTTTTTTAAACACAGACTAACTCAGCCCCTGATGGAAGATACCGTTCAGTACTATTTCACTTTCCTACTCTTAAGGTTTCCTATCTCTTTTTGTTATTCTTAAAATTAAACTGTAAATGGAGAATCAAGAGGGTATCAAGAGCATTTATGAAATATGTCAGACTGCAGTGTAAAAAAGTAAAAATGTCAAAATCTTCAAAGTCCACATTCATTAATTTTAAAGTCTATAAATTCAGATCTCACTCAATTTCAATTTTGGTTTTGCTTTATTACCTTTTAATTATGAAGTAGATGATATCTCATTTTTCTCACCCATAAAGGGAGGGGAGAGTTACTAGTCTCTATTAACATGGTTGACATGAAAATGATATTAAAATGGCAATGTGTCTACAAGTACTCTGTGACTCTAAAGAACTATACACATGAGCGTTATTAATAACTTTAAAATATGATATTGACATCTTTTCATTTCAAAGCCAGTGTCACTATGCTTCTGCTGATACAGAAATCAAAAGAGTTTTCTGCTTTTCATTTTTCATCTTTTTTTTTTTTTTGGTAGAAATATTGATTTTTCATCAACATGGAAATTCAGATTCTTAAAACAATGCTGATCAGTGTAATAAGGTGCAAGGAAGTATAAAACAAGCACATCACTGTCATTTTTGAAGGAGACTTATAAAAGTATACATTTTATTGTTACTAAATTTGAATACTTTTCCAGGACCAAAGATAAGATGAGAAATAGCCTGCTTAGCTGATGACTTTTGCTTAACTGTTTTAGTTACTAGCCTATTTCTATGTAGAGACCACTCGAAGTATGATAGGTGTTCATGGTGATGTTATATAGTTCTTCAAAGGAAGTATGTATTTATATCCTGCTTTATACATTTGGGCAAAAATAGTAATAACACTTTCAAAATACTGATGGGAAATTAAGTCCCAATAAATATGTTGGATCCTCAAGAGAAAGAAGTACAATTCTCAGTCTTACAGCATTCTTTCTATAAAAATAGTGCAATTGGGATATACTATTTTAGTAAGAAACTCATTAAGTACAATTTTAAAGGCTTCTTCTTCCTCTTCTTTTTTTAAACTTTGACATTCCAGTAAACTGTGAGGAAAATGTCCTTCCATTTGCTTTTCCTTTGCTGAAGTGTCTAGAAGTGAGACTACATTCAAATTAAAAGCAGAAAGTCCCTTAAATTCCTTTCAAGAAGTCCATCCTGTAAGTGCCACTCCTAGAAGGACTATGGCTGTTACTACTTCTGGCTGGAATGAGATTACAAAAGATTTCAAGAAGAAATGGAAATTATAATAGGGAGTTTCTCTCACTCTTATAGTTCATGACCTACTTGTTCCTTATTTTGGTCCATTACATTCTTTTCACTAAGAACTCCTGTCCCTAGAAGGAAATCTTTGACAGTGATACTTAATCATACTGTGCAATGAGACACTTACATCCAAATTCCAAAAGATATTTTTAATTTGTATAGTAATGATAACAGCAAACAAATTCAAGTGAATAGTATACAGGAAACTAATTATAATTTTGGGAAGTGCTTTCTTCCTCACAGATTCCTTCCACGCCTATCATATTCCTTGATATTCTTGGTATTTCTGTGTTTTAAAACATGACTGGTCAATTTGCTTTTTTATGGATGAAGACGTAAGACCCCGGGGAGGTTGGTATGACTGCCTCAAAGACCCACAGCCCCCCTGGGGCTGAGCTGAGATGCAAAGCCAGTTCTCTGTCTTCCTGTGTGGCTTGACATAACCTGTATCATACACATCTAATTTTTTTGTCCATTCTAGGTTTCTCCTCTGCCAACCCCCCCCGGACCAACACTGACTGCTGAAGGAAGGTTGTGAGTCTGCAGCCCGTCTTGTTCGTTCTTCTCCAGAGTCCCATCATGAGCTCGCCAGTGCAGCCTGGTCAGTCTGGTTCCTTCTTAAACTATTAACAGAATTTATATGAAAGACATTGCTTTGTGTTGCTTCAAAGCAAGCAATTTAAGTCATGAAAGGACTTTTTTTCCTGACAAAGATTGGTTAATATGATGAATTCTGAATTTTGTATTCCATAGCTAATCCTCTGTTACATAACCTGGTTTGCTTTCCAGGCACTAATTTCATTTGCATTGTTATCTGAGCACCAGGCTTTAATCCTTCTACTCCTAATGTAGCATTGGATTGGATTTTGTGACGTTATTAATATTTATTAAATATGATGTAGGCATCTAATTCACACCCATAGTCTTTCTGACCTAATACACGTCTCTATGCTTTTAAATTGTGCTGTGGGGCTTGGAAAGCAGCTTGTGGATTTATACCTTCTCCATCTTTTTGACACACAGGAAGGATATTTCTCCTCCCTGGCCTTCTTTGCCACCACTCCTGTTTCCTATATATGTATTTAATTATAATCTCGACACCTGCTTCCTCTGAGTCTAGTGTAATATGTGGCTCATTTAGTGTTGTGATCAGCAGAGCCAACACCCATTCCTGCAGGAACAGGGTGTCACTTTTGGAGCAAACATAATTCAGGTCTCAGAATGATGGAGTAGGGTTGGATATCACGAGTTAATCATGGATAAATTTTAAAAAGAATTTTCTGCTTGGATCATTATAGGATAATTTATTTCTATTTCTCTTTTTTTTTCTTTAAAAAAAAATAACCCTTTTAGTATGTTGATATCCTTGGGTTATCCAACTCCCGAGGTTGAAACTGGTATAATATTATATTCAGGATTTAGAAAAGGAAATCTTTTGCCAAGATTTTCGATCCATGGAGTGCCACTCCCAGATATGTTGCTCTGATGTTCCACTGTCTCATCAACCTTTCCTCACATCCTCAATGGGCTGCCTGCCAGCTTGTAGGTTGAATATGGAACTGGAAATTATTGTAGGATAGAATTGTGACTGTTGATTCCAAGTGACATAGTAAAGATATTCCAGAATTTTTAGTTAAAGTCACTATTTATAATTGGCATTGTCACCTGAGTAAACAGATGAAGAGTTGCCTAGGCTGTTTGTCTCTGAGTCCCTGTAGCCCAGTGGTTCTCAAACTTCAGTACGCATTAACATCACTGGGAGAGCTTGATAAAAATTAGCCACATCCCCGTAGTTTTTGATTCAGAATGTCTAGGGTGGGGCCCTAGAATTTCATGTTTTACAGGTTGTCCTGAGTGATGTTATTTGCCTGGAGACTGTACTTTGGGAACCACTGGTCTAGCCTGCTATATTTGTTCCTTCCCCTGCTGCTCTCTGCCCCACTTGCACCCCATAGACAGCCCTGTGGGGGAGCTACATTGCTTATCACAATTGTAGCATACTATTATTACCCTTTCTATTAAGATTTACGTAAAATCTAAATCTATTAAATCTATTAACTTAAAATGTTTGCATTTTATATTTGTATATATTGCATTTTAAATATAATTTTATTTTAAATTTAATGTTTCAAAATGGCATAATTTTAAAAAGTCATTTAATTTAGAACCATTGTAGTCAAAAATTTTTTTTCCCCTTTCTTGTGATGGAATGTGTTGAAAAACCATACGAAAATCAGTAGGAACAAATTGGCTAAATACAGAAGTGGCAGAAAACTTCCTTCACTTCTGGAAATTATGATCTAGAATTTATATAGGGGTTTGTCTTTAATTCTCCAGACCAGAAAATAGACTTTTTACATATTTAAAAGAAAGGTGTCATGTCCCTTTATTCTCCACCCACCTCTATCATATCCTCCCCATATTGTTGGTTTACCTCCCATACTGACCTCCCAGAAGAGTGATGAGGCAGACTGAATGATGAGCAAATAGAATTTATGTCAGTGACAACAGCTATATCAAAGCAAAACATTTGAAACAGCAACTTTACCAAGATATGTAATCTTGAAATGGACAAAAGAATGCAGATGCCCTCATGGCTAATGAAGGATAAAACTAGACAGAAAAAATTTGGATCCAAATTATAATTACACTCATTTTATGAAACGCACTCCCTTTTAAAGAGTGCAAGTGTAGCAATTTCAGTGTCTATGTAGTTTTTATTTACCATTTGTCTAACACCTTTACACTTGGCCCCACTTGTCTGTAATGAGAAACACATAATCCCATTAATAACATTATTGTAATGGTTAGATTCCCAATTTAGGCCATCAAAGCCTATCTAAAGGTAGCTAGCTTGCAGTGAATACAGGAATATTTTGACAACCGTAGTTAAAGAAGAGAATCAGTACTATGTAATAAATATTTTAAAATGTTACATGCTTAAAGAAAAGTGAACCCAAGAGCAGGAAGATGAACAGGGGAGAGAAATATTTATACTTAATGTGAGCTATGGGTACCTTAGAGGATTTCTCAGGTAGGTCCATATCACATCTAATTTCATTCTAAAAGTGTTTTTTTGGAATGTTGGTGTAAGGGTGATACTTTTAGATACTTTTACTTCTAGTTTTCTTCTCTGATGTGTGGAGAAGGGTGAGATTTTTGCTGAAAAGGTAAAGCATACTGGGCAAGAAAGCTCCGGGCATGGTGTGGGTATGTAAGGGGCCAATGGCCGGAAGTAACATTACTGAACTTTGTGCGGTAAAAGAGAGAAGGAAAACAGAGCATGCATGTACCTAACCCCTCCAGAATGAGAAGAAACAGACATGATTAAAGGGGATTTGAAGTTAAATAAAAGTCTTACTGTCTACCCAGCATAGATTGTTGTGTAGAAAGTGGACATGAATCCTTGCTTCAAGGTGCATATGGAGGAGGAGGGAATAGGATGTATAGCTCAAATTTTTATATTCAGGATGATAACTTGTAACATTTTTTAACTCAGAGCTTCTATATATATATAAAGGTATTGTAGTATGTAAGATGGATAAATACTTTGGACTCTTTAAAAAAACATAAAGCAAAATAATACCAAATACTTAGATTAATTCTGTATATACCTGATACTGACTCACAACTGGTAAAATTTGACAGTTGAAATCAGCACTCCCTTCAAGAATATTGATCTTATAATATGAAAATACCCTTTGAGGCTGCTGTTTAAATCAGGAAGTTCTTGCCAGCCGTGATATTTGTTCAGTTAGGAGAAGGGAAAAAGTGGGTGATAAATGAGACAACTACTGAGTGAAGTTCACTGGATGTTAGACTCACTAAAATTTCCCTGTATACTTTTTAAAAAATATTCTGCTCTATTGAGAGCAGTATACAGAGGTCTTAATTCTGTTTGGGAAGTTTTTATGAATGAAGTACGAATTGAGGAGTGTCATAGCAAATGGGCCAGGTGGGTGGGAATCTTTTCTATTTATTACAAATGCAAACTATGATCAAGACCTGAAATGCACTTTGCATATGTAAAAGAAAATGTTCTGGCCATAAACATGAAAACATTGTTCTGCTATTATTAGCCTGTCTCTTATGGTGCCATATATATTCTACTGCTGAGAAATAACCTAATCGTTTGATTTAGAAAAAGTGTTTTTCTTACATATCCTTAAAAAAAGAAAAGAAAAGAAAAGCTATCTAAAAAGAGAGTTAAATTGCCCCAAGGCAATCACCATCCATTTGTTCTGCTTTTGTTCTGCAAAGGGCTCTAAGGAGTTATTGTGCACCAGAAAAATAGACTCACTCCAGTTATTCCAGAAATTCTTTAATAGTCAGTGCTTTGGACAGAGTATTTACGTTTGTCTTGAAAATTGGTTCGGGGATCGTGTGAATTCTTGTTTTCCCCATAAAACTTCTCCATCCCTGTTCAATTATAGTGGATATCAAGGACTAAATATTGCCGTCTTGATCATGTATTCAGTCAAACAATGAGTGCTGATTTTTGGATATAGAATTCACTGGCTTGTATTTTAATCTTGGTGCCTCAGTAATGTTCTAAGTTAGAGCACTGGGTGTTGCTTTTTGGGCACTGAAGAGCCTGAATGGGGGGAAGACTGTCTGGATGAGGCCGGCAGCTAGCTGCGGCAGTTGCCACAGGCAGTCATTCAAAGCTCATTAAGCATTTTGCGCCAGGCTCTGTGTTACTCGGTACGGATGCAAAGAGTACTAAATCTTGGTCTGCCCTTGTGGACAGCACTCTTTAGTGGGAGACACAGACGAGTACGTAGTCTTGGTCCTTCACTGGATTATTTTAATAAACATAGGAACAGAAATTAATTTCTTCTGTGTGGCAGTGTGGATGACATTTCTAGTAATTTAATTTTTATCAGGATTGCCAAATCCCAGAAGGAATGATTTTAGGGCTCGTCTATTCTAGAGCTTTCCAAACATGTCAGATAATAAATATCACATGGGGCTCTTGTTTTACATACAGATTCTCAGACTCCTCCCCTAAAGAGTATTATGCTGTTGACTCGGGTGGAGGGTACTAGGTAACATTGCATAATGCTCTTCCCTGTGACTTGGCAAAGTGTGGAAGTGTTTTTTAATCTGTCTAACAAACACTACAATTTCTCACTTGGAGACTCTAGAAAAACCAAGAATACATCATTAAATCCTATCTCAATGTAGAAATACGTATTTCTCCTGTGAGCTAATGTATAACTCAGTGATTTTGCTTTCGGCTAAGTGAAAAGCTAGTGCTATTGAAAACTCTAGGAGGTAATTTGTCAGGAAATTCTCCTCCCTTTACATGTATTCTCGGCAGTCTAGGCCATCCTGGTTTTTTTTTCGTTTTTTTAAAAAGATTTTTTATTTATTTATTTGATAGAGAGATCACAAGTAGGCAGAGAGGCAGGCAGAGAGAGGGGGAGGAAGCAGGCTCCCTGCTGAGGAGAGAGCCCAATGCGGGGCTCGATCCCAGGACCCTGGGACCATGACCTGAGCTGAAGGCAAAGGCTTTAACCCACTGAGCCACCCAGGTGCCCCAAGGCCATCCTGTTTTTATGTGGAGGTGGCCCAAAGACATAGATAGAGGACATCCCC